TGCACACCACTACATATAAAATAATCAATAAGGACCTACTGTATATAGCACAGGGAAGTCCACTCAATACTCCGTAATAACCTATATGGGAAAAGAATCTGAAAAATAATAGATACAAGTATATGTATAACTGAATCACATATGAAACTAACACAACATTGTGAATCAACTAGACTGCTCCAATATAAAATAAAAATCTTGTAAAAATCTGCCAAAAAAAGAGTTCGTCTCAATGCTCTGTTGTTTAATGGGATGGTATTGGGTTGGGTTTTATATTAGCAGCTAAAGCCCTTAGAGTTTTCGAGAAGGAACTGCTTGGGGTAGAACATCTTGGGATTCTCAGCAGTCTTGAAGTTGCCCATCGTGTGCAACATTCTTGGTTTCTTTGTGCTGTTTTTCAAACAGAACCAGGGAGTTTCAGGGGTGAGGGCATCACTCCCTCTGTCTGCTCGTGGATTCTGACAAGGCAACAGCGAGGATGGGGAAAGTCCTCTGAACGTCCTTCATAACAAAGCCAATGAGGATGGCTTAGGATCATTCCATCTGGAGCAGAGAATGGACTTTTCTGAGCCCCTTGACCTTAGGTTATTTTTTGCTTGTCGTTGGCTTTTCTAGGTCTACCTCCCATATGTCTCCCCAGGAATTTTTCTTTCATCTTTTTTTCTTTTTTTGAAGTTGTTTGTTTTTATTCTGTTTTGTTTCTCCCATTTCCATACACACGCCCTGCTTGTTCATGAAGATTAGGAACTCCATAATCAAGTCAACCACTTTTGCTGTCTGGAACAGAGCTAATATTATGCATGAATCATATATAATCCAGGAGACAGAACAGACTGGGAAGGTCTGGTCCTTTTTCCTTTACTTTTGGCTTTAGCCTAAGTCATCACTGCCCTGTACTTTCTTTTCTCAACCTATGAAATTTTAATGATTTTATTGACCTTGAGATGAAGGTAGGCGGATGGTCCCTTGGAGCTGTCCCCGTATCAGGCTCACCATCGCCTCCACCTCTGAAGATGCCGAGCTGATGTGGGGAAAAGAGACAGTGGGAAGCAGAGTCTTTAAAACTAATTAATATATTCAAGTATCCTCAATTAATTATTGGGCAAACTTTGATTTCTGTGCCAATAAATTCATTCGGCTGGGACTTGAACTTGCAACACGATACACATTCTGACATATTCTTCTTCTCGGGCCTGACAGAAACTAAACTGGAACACTTTGAGTCCTGTCTGGATCCCAGGAGTTACTTCAGGTCCAGGGAGAAAAGTCCCAGGGGCACCCGAAATTACCTAGTCTGACATGAGTCTATCCTCACCTAAGCCCCAGAGGGCTGCTTTGCCCAGATACTCTGAACTGTGAGACCTCACTATCTGAGACCTGTCACCCACCTGCCAAGCGGGAGGAGGAGGGATATATGGTGGATGCCGGGGTCAGATAGACACGGGTCTGAATCCCAGCTCTGCCTTTCACTGCCTGTGGGACCCGCCCAGAGCGTCTCAGACGCTGTGACTGGACAGGGGTCACGTGGACCCAGATGCTGTCCCCTCGCCCTGGGGTGGGCCTGGAGTGAGTGACCAGGCCTGAGATGGCAGCCTCTCCACTGACCCCAGCAAGGGGTAACTGTCTTATCAACGTCATCCTATTCTATGTGGCCCACTAGAAAAAACTCAGGAGACACGGACTTAAGTTCCCTTCCCTTTGTCCCTGTCATCTTTACCTCCCTGCAAAATGGGGCTGAAAAGAGCACCTACTCGAGACGTGGATGGACCTAGAGTCTGTCATACAGAGTGCAGTAAGCCAGAAAGAGAAAAGCAAACATCGTATATTAATGCATGTATGTGGAATCTAGAAAAATAGTTCGGATGAACCTATTTGCAGGGCAGGAATAGAGACGCAGACGTAGAGAACAGACGTGTGGACACAGAGTGGGGAAGGAGAGCGTGGGACAAATTGGGAGATTAGGTTTGACATAAATACATTACCACGTGTAAAATAGACAGCTAGTGGGAACCTGCTGTATAGCACAGGGACTCAGCTCGGTGCTCTGTGACGACCTAGATGGGTGGGATGGGGCGGGTGGGAAGGAGGTCCAAGAGGGAGGGGATATAGGTGTACATATAGCGATTCACTTCATTGCACAGCAGAAACTAACACAACATTGTAAAGTGACTTTACTCCAATAAAAAAAAAGAAAAGAAAAAGAAAGATTATTCTATATTAAAAAAGAAAAAAGAAAAGAGCACCTACTCATAGGAGTGACCCACAAGGAAGATTCAGCTCAGTAACTGCTCAGTGTGAGTGGGGAATACTTTGGGGCAATTAACGGTACTTAGAGTAACGGCGACAGGGGCCTCTACAGCCCAGCAGTTCTGTTATTCTTTCTGATATTGTCTCCACTTTAAGCTCCACCGCCGGGAAAGACACGTTTTCTGCCCTGCCTCCCAAAGGGTGACACCAGGGCTCAGCAGAGATCCAGGGGCGACGCATCCTCTAGGCCCGGGTGATCAAGGAGAGAAGGAGAAAGAGAGACTCCTTCACCACAGACAGGCAGGCACTTACTTCAATGATGGAGGAAAGCCAATGACCGGAGGCTACATTTCTGAGGAGGGGGCCCCCGCAAGGCCAGGCCTCTGCCCTACACAGCAGCGGCCTCCTGTAACATCCGGGCCCCTTAACTCATTTCTCTGGGCCCAGGAAGCCGTGGTGGGTGCGTGAGGCCCAGGGTAGAGAAAACGCTCTTTTCCATTCAAAGTTTGCTCATCGTTTGGACTTTGGGGAAATTTCCAGAATGAGACCAGCCAAGCCTCAGTTTCCCGTGTCAGGGCTATGCTTCATCCTCACAGCCAGTCTGTCCTAGGTCTCGTGTATTCTGCCTTTTAGTAATTTCCTAGCTGGTTTCCTGGCAATGGTCATACCCCAGCTCAACCCACTTTGCACTTTGCAGACAAAGCAGCCTTTCTAAATTGTAAATATGACCTCACGTGGCCTCCCACTACCTTCAAGATACTGCCACGCTCCTGGGCATCGCGCACGAGGGCCCTCACGGTGAGCCCTCCCCTCACAGCTCCGTCCTTCTTCTCCCCTCCCCGTCCCCCCACCCCAGCCATGCCAGCTCAGTATTCACTGCATACGCCATGGTCTCTCATGCCTCTGTGGTTTTGTACATGCTGTTCCCTCGCTCTGGAATGCCCTTCCTCCTGTCTCCAGCGGCCCCATCCTGCCCACCCAGCGAGCTGAGGGTCACAATTCCACGAGGAGGCCTTCCACAGGGAAACTGGGCAGTCCTTCCTGTGCAGGCAACGATTATATCATGACTACACCGTGACATTTATCCTACTGGAGTGTAACAGTCTACCTCCATGTGCCCAACCCCCCGCCCCCAAACTGTAACTTCCATGCGAACAGGGGCTGTTCAGTCATTTCCCAGGACTTCAAAGAGTTCCCAGGAGACAGTGGGTGCTCATTATAAGCTTGTTGAAAGGCAAATGGGGAAAAAAAACCTGTATGCCTAATAATAATTATTAATGGAAAGGGCAATAATGAAGAGAAGAACGCAGTAGTCGTGATTAGCGTCTTAAATTGTAGGTCCAGGAGGAGTGAAATTTGGATCCACCTCAGGACACGTAAGCGATCCCAGTGAGAACTCTAAGTGGAGGAATTAAGAAGCATTCATTCCACGGAAGCCACATGCCAGGTAAGAGGCAAAGCATGTGATCAAAGCTGAATCCTTGGAAAATCACTGAGCTGTGCAAAGGTCCAGGGTAGATTTGTAACCCAGCACAGAAAACATGAATTGCTGGGAAAACGAAAAAAGACATGCCTGAGTCTCAGCTCTGCAGAGTGTTTCTTGGCAATTACAGCATCTTATGTATTTGGAAAAACATCACGGAAAACCAAAGCCACCAGCAGCATCAAAGCTCCAAGAAGCATTCCCAAATCATCTGCTCCCTGTGCTGACCTGCCGACGCAGCCCTGCACCTGAGCTGAACTGATGTCCTTCTTACCCAGGAGAAAAACCATCTTCGTGCCTTATGTATTCAAAAAAGTCTTTTCTGTTGGTTCACACCTTCCCAGACACTCCACTCCACTGTGTTTTGAGAAACTGAAGCTAACTTCGTAGGGATACATTTTCACAAAACAGGGCAGATTAAGACAACGCAAGCCAAGCGTGTGACTGAAGGGCACCTGCCAGTGGGCTGGGTAAGTCCTTGTTGACAATGGTGTCCTTCCCATCACCATGTTCGGCTTTATATTGTTCACCCAACTACAAGAAAAAGCAAACACAATTTCCCTAAAGCTTGCCAATCGCAAAAGACAGACACCTTTTGAGCCACTATGCGTAGCATCTATACAACATGGAGGTTTGGAGAAGGGGGCTCCAGGCCTGTTCATTCTGGGGCTCGTACGAAGCGGAACACAGGGAACGGCTGCCATTCACTGTGCAGAGCATCTGTCAAAGCTGTATTTAGGGAGCTGAACCAACAGTGAGGAGTCCAGATGCATTCACTCGGAATCACGCAGCATTTCGTCAAGTGAAGGAAAGGCATTTTGCTGCAGGTGAGCAGAGTCTCACTAACACATTCCACCCAGTCAAGCCTTCAGCGTTTTCCACGGTGGACCTCACTAGCACCCTTACCCTCTATCTGAATGACGGCAAAGGCAGAGAGAGTTCTGCCCTTGCAGGAGCTGAAGCCATCAGGGACAGAAGCCCACGCACGTCTGTCTCCACCACGACGAGGAGAAGGTGGTGGAACCAGGCGTGATGCTCAGGGCTGTGGAATGGCCAAGGGTGGCCAGGAGGAAGCTCATGGCTCGTCATCCACGTGCAACCAAAACATACGGACCATCAAGCAAGGGAGCTAAAACCACACTTTTATCCCCTGGGAACGGTGGACAGTCTGTCCAGATTTGAGGTGGGGGAAAGAAGGCTAAACTTCCACCAGAATTCACTCCTTTTTGATGAACTCCCCAAAGGAGCAATGTGGCATTTCTCCCCTTACCTCGTGGATTGCCAGCGTCCACACAGAGACAAAAGCTCAGTTTCTTGGTCCCCGAGAAAGCAGCCGGGTCCTTGACGTGAGCGAGTCCTTGCACCTTTGCTTCAAGAATTTGGATGGCCCAGGTGACGGGGCCCGGGGCCCTGTTCGTTTTTATGAGTCTGTGGGTCAGCTCAGACCGGCTGCCGACTCATCTGTATGCAACGGCTCTCAAAGAACACAGTTTACTTAGAACCGGTTCCAGTAAGAGGAGGCGTGGCAGGTAAGTGGGCCGGATACAGCAGAGGTGTTGCGCCGCCAGGGCTAATTACGAGGGAGATGTTTACGGAGCCATGTGGGAACCAGTGTGTACCTGCTGAGGGTCCCAGCCAAACGCATGCGTGAAGGCTGGGTGCTCCCGGATGGGGGCACTGGGGTCCCCGAGGAGCCCTTTGCAAAATTTCTCCTGCTCAGTGACGCTCCTCAGTGACCACAGGTCAGGCTGGCCTGACCTTCCCTCGGCTAATTTCTGCCACCCCGGTCCCAGTTCAGGGCAGATCTCTGTAGCCGAGACTTCACAGCAGAGCCCTGTGAAGGGAAGGGAGCCTTGCGGCACAAGCACCTCACCGGGGGTAAGGTCCTAGCTTCTGTCACTCAGCGTCTGCAGTGGGTAGGGAGGTGATGGATGGAATGGACTTGGCACGTACTTGGCATTGAGCGAAGGCTTGGGAAATCAACACAGCCCAGTATCTGCTTTCTTTCCTCCTTCCCACCCCAGCCCTTAGGGTCATCTCCCTCTGGTTCATACTTGGCGTCTTACGCCCTCTTGAGCTGTCCTGGTGTCTGGGTTCCTTCCGGTCCCAGTGGCCTCTGTGGACCCTCACTCATTTCACCGCTAGTCACCACTGGAGCGTCAGAAAACAGTTCCCCTAGTAAGCTGTCACTTTGTACTCGTGGAGTAGCGGGTGGGGGGGCCGTGCGGGGCTGGAGGGCGAATGCAGGCACACTTCACCTTCACCTTCTTGCCGGTCTCCGCTCAGCACCTCACAAGATGACATTAAGTATCAGATTTCACTCCAGTCTAAGTGACTCAAAGAACAGGAGAAGCTGCAGAGCTGGGCTGTAGTGTGGAGGCCACATTCCAGTGATTCTGACACAGGAAAACAGGAGAAGGTGTACATTTTGGTTTTCGTAGAGACGATAAAATAGAAACTGATAATTACATGAGGAAAGGAAATTGTGTTTTCAAACCTGTATAAGTATCATCAGTTTTATGATAAAGGAAAAAGAATAGAGTAGACGTAAGTAAAAGAACTTATAGGAACATTTCCCGTATGAAGTTTGATTGTAGGAGACCTATTCTAGGGAGCAGCAGTGCCACGGGAAACAGAACAAGAAGAGAGTTCCAAAGCTTGTGCTAAATATGACCTTTTCCCTTCACAGAAGTTCCCCTGTGGGCAAGCAGTCCCTACCCCCTCTCCCTAGGCTCGCCCCTCTCTCCAAAGTTACCTCCTTTCTCAATCACCCACTGTGTGGTCCTCCACCTACCTTCCCTGGCATCCCTACCCAACCCGGGGAATAACCTCCCACCCCAGGTTCCCCCCCACACCCCTGAGCAGCACATTGCCCCAAGTCTGGGTGTGGGGAGCATAGGAATGCAGCCTGCAGACGCCCAGTGCAGAGAGAGTGGGCGACCGGGGGCCCTAGCAGCTGCGCCCCACAAAGGCTGAGCACAGGGCACACCCAGGGAGCTGGTGATGGAGAGGGGCCTCCTCCAGCGCAACCGTGGCTGGAGAACTCCCCTATGGCCACTGGAACCTTCCTTAGACTCCAGGGCAGTCTAGGGTGCCTCCACCTCCCCTCCCTCTCCCCTGGGCTGTTCAGACAGGACGGGAGCTGTCAGGGCCACTGCAGGGCAGGCACCGGGTTCACACAGGGCAATCCAGGAAAAGGGCTCTCATCTTCAATTTCAGAGCTGAGGCCCGAAGAGCCACGGTAGGTCTCTGGGCCAGCGTGAGCCGCAGATGTGCCTCTCATTCTCCAGTCCTCCTCCAGACAACTGGAAACACAAACCTGCACCTCGCAAAGGTAAGCATTAATTCTCGGAGTCAGCACAGAACAGACCCCAAATGAGGAAAATAAACATTTTCTTAAGCGTCTCATTCATTTGCAAGTCAGGACCCTTGCAGGATGGAGCCAGGCGTCTCATTATTATGGAGACCAGGCAGTTATCTTACCTCCTTCCTCCCTCTCCTTGCCCCCCAATTCAGAACGGCCCCTGGGGACCATCTGGGAATAAGAAAGAGGCTGTTGCTAAGCAACAGGGAGGGCAGGGCAGCTGCTTCTCCCAGCTCCAGGAGCCTTGGTTATAAGGTGCCAGTGAAGGCGCTTGATCTGATAGAATGCTGCATCTTGCATGAAACCAACATGATTCGTTTCCTCAGTCTCTCCTCCTACCCACGGTCTTCATGGAGAAATTCTGCCCCTGTCCCACCGTCTGTCGCTTCTCCCACCTCTGCGGTCACAGAGACAATCCTCCTGGGCCTGACAGCCCGTGGCAGCGCGCAGAGTGCCTTTTCCCCGGGCTTTGCCTCGGTCCCGCTGCACGACCCCGCTGGTGTTCACAGGCATTTATTCCTCAAACACAGCCAGGAGCCCCAACCTCTGCACCTGAGCTGGGGGACCAGAGTCGATGGACTGTTTTTTTTTATCTTTTCTTTAAAGAAAATTGGAATATTTCAAAGATATTATCCCATTCATGACTAATATTCCAACGGGAGCAATTTGGATAAACAGTAGGTCTTTAGAGGTGCCTGTCTGGTTAGGGGATATGGGGCATTCCGCTCACACAACAGAGGGCAGCTCACAACAATTTCTGCAAGGCTGGGACCAGGTGCAGAGCACACAGCAGGGAAAGCAGGCAGGCCTTGCAAAACGGAACCAGTTCTGGGTCCCAGGAGTGGGTATGCGATGGATAGCAGGTGAGAGCAGCAGATCACAGCAACACTGCCAAGGCAAATTCTTCCTGGTCTGAGCAGAGCAAGGGGGAGCCTGACCCGGGGTGGGCTCCCAGTCTGTGCTGTGTCACTTCACGTCATCCTAACAACGTCTGGGAAAGTGTCGTTTTAATCAACATACAGATAAAGGGGGAAAGACTCGTTTCTGGGGACACACTGAGTACGTGACCAGGCAGAGGTTAACTTCACGCCTATATGAGAAGCTCAGGCCCTGACAACCACTGCCTTGTTGAGATGATGGACCACGAGGTGGACACAGTTTCCCGTAGAGGGAAACAGAGCTTCAAGTCATTGCCCTGCCTCTGCTCCGGTTAGTTAAAAAGCAGTTCTAACTGCATGCTTTGGGTAGAGCATATATTCTTGGCAAAGCATTGAACTCATCATTTTGGGAATCAGGAAAGGCAATTTTAAAGAATTGTAAGATGAAAATGCGGTAGATGAAACAAATGTTTATTTTTGCTCCCTCCTGAACTCAACAAAAATGGGGGTAAAGGAATTTTAAAAGGTGAAAATCCACAAAGACAAAGAGCACAGGAAAGGGAACAAAAGTGGTCAAGAGAGTTGTACAAAATTCAAGAAGCTGGAGAGTATATGAACAGGGTAGAGCGGCAAGGGCTGAACACAAGTACCCAGCGAGGGAGAAGTCAGCCGGCGTCTAGGGGCAAATCTGAGCTCTCAAAGCCCAGGGCGTGGGAGCCCAGGCACCCCTGGAGGCAGTGCTCATGTCGGGGCGGAAGACAGGGAAACTGGTTGAAATTCCTTATCAGGAACGAAATCCCCACTCCTAGGATTTGAGAAAGCCAGGGAGAGTGTGGACTGGGGTTCTTCAAATGTAGCAGAGGTTGGGGGTGAAGCCCTGTACTGGAGACAGAAGGGGGATTGTGGGAAAATCTTTGCACTGAGTGGGAGACCATGAGTCCCTTCCTGCACACGTCCTTTTTGCAAAACAAGCACATGGCCGTGTTATTCTAACACAGAGTAGGAATCTACTTTTCTAGCCACTAATCTACAGGCTGTCTCCCCTCTGCACATAAGGGGAGAGATCTCCTGTGTCCCAGGCCACCGCCTTCCTACAGATGTGACCCGTGTCCTCTGATTCAGGAAGGGCAGCCAAGGTGATTCCATGACAAGCGAATACATGGCCCCTCAGACAGGCCTCTAGTTCCTAAATGGGGAAAGATAGAGGGACTCTTTGCAGGAATATGTTCTTTCATCTTTGTGCCTCGATTTTTTCAGAGAACCAGTGTCTGGTGAAAGAGATGTGGTACAGTCTGAACATGTTTGCCTCAGAGGAGAACTAGGTAATCCCACTGAGGTGACAAAAAGGAAAGAACACCGTTACACGGGCTTCACAATGGAAAGGTTTTGAGAAATCTGTGTGTAAGAGATGAAACGCTTCCCTCTGAAACATTTACTGCCTTTGAAGATGGTAATGCATCCATGGCTCTGTGAGAAATTCCAGGTCAAGGGACATTTTAGAAAAAAATAGGATTGAACAAAGGGAGGATTTTGATGATTCCGTTTAATTCAGTAAAATCTTGTTGAGGGCCTTCCTGTTAAAGCCACAGCAGCAGGCACTTGGGGAAGTTACAACGTGAATAAAACATGGTCCCTGCCCTTCAAGAGTTTAATGCTTTGTAGGGGAGAAGACATCACAGACACAATAAGGCATAAATTCATGGGAAGTGTCGTGAATAAATGGAAGAAGAGGTTACCTCTGGCTGGAGGAATTGGGGGGGCCTCATATAGATGGCGATGTATAGCTGGATGCTGTCAGGAGGGTAGAATTACACTCACTCCCTTGAGTCTGCAGCTAGTTACTTGGAAACTAGCTGGTGGAAGGTGGGAAGTGGGTGAAGGAGAAGTAGCTTGGAGGCTGGAGAACAACAGTGAGTTTGGAGCACGTAGAGGACTCGAGGGGAGACACGTCGGTTTAAGAACAGACGTCTTGACGGATAAGGCAGAAGAGGGGCAGGTGGGGACAAGATGGCAGAGGGAGGGGCTGTGCTTGGATTTGACCTTTATCCACATTTCCATGGGAGTCACCTGGCCCTAGGGGGAGGGGACGGACACTCAGAATGCAAGAGCCATGGGTCTCAACGTAAGATGATGCTGAAAGTTCTTCTGTTTTGTATTTCCTATCTTGAGGAATTTTGCCATGTTTTATCCAGACTTTTGTATTTACGTATATTGCTGCCTATTTTGACAT